GAGGTGGAGGGGTGCAGGTGGCAAGTGGGGCAGATGAAGGAACTGGGTGGGACAGAGGTAAAGGGGCTACCTGTCCACTGCCTACCCATCTTTTCCTACTGCGGAGGGTGGAGGATTCAAGGCAACCTTCCAATACTTAGATTCCATACCTGGAAAATTATACCAAATTTATATTTTTTCCATATGTAGTATCTAATTATTGGGGAAGTAATCTTGTATTTGGGAAATATGGTCATAATTTTGTCATATTAATAAAATAAACTCAAAAGTTGACCTCCGAGGAGAAGCCAGCAAGCTCAAGGAGAATAAATCAATATTTGTCTTTCTTTCCTGGATTATTTTAATCAAACCCATTAATAAAAATCAATCCATGTCTGGAGTATTGAAATATCCTGTAGATTAATAACGAAAAGACGGCAGAGTGCAAAAAAGTGATACAGCCCAAAAAGGAGAGACATTTTATCCAACTGTCCTGAGCAAGTTAAAAGAACTCAGTAAATCTCACGCCAGCCTATACACCTGTAGTCTGGCAGTTTCTCCTAAATTCTCAGTGGGTGCATCTACACATGCATATGCTTCCTGTGCAGTAAACCTCGCTAAATCACAAGTAAATTTGCTACCTGCAAATGCAAGTAGCAAATTTGCTTGTGATTACTAACTGCACAGTAGTGCTTGTGTAGATGCCTGACTGGGAGCAAATCTGCTACCAGTCAGCCAGCCAGCCACCAGAAGGCGAAAGACTGCTCCCAGCAGCTGCCTGCTGCCACAAGCTCTGCCACCAGAGCCCAGGCAGAGACTATGTGCCCCTGCCGCAGCAGCAGGGAGCTCCAAGTTTCCCCAGCTCTGAAACTGCTACCAGGGAGCAGGGGTTGGGAGATGATACTTTCCCCTAGGCCTTGCTTCACCATTGCAATAAGGGAGCCTGAAGATCCTTATCTCCCAGTGCCAGCTCTGTGACCATAGAGCTTGGGCTAAGAAATCCTTATCTTCCAGCATGAGCTCTGCAGTTGCGGAGCTGGGAGCTCCCTCCTGCTGGCAGGGGCTGAGAAGCCTGTTCCCTGCCCAGCTGCGTGTTCTTGGAGCTGGATGGAGAACACGCTGGGAAGCTTGTTCCCTGCTCAGCTCCGTGATTATGGAGTTCAGCAGGGAACAGGCTCCCCAGCCTGCTCCCGACCCCTGCCTTGATCCACTAGAGGAGCAGCTGGTAGCAAGCCCCAAGCTGAGCAACGAATCTCCACCCCGGCTGGGGTTCGCTGCTAGCTGCCCCACCCATGGATCGGGGCAGGAGCCTGGCACCTGCCCCTCCCACTGCCCTGAACAGGAAGGCAGAGCTGGGAGCTCCCAGCTGCTGGGGCTAGGGGAAATTGTCCCCACCCCAGCACCAGGGAGCCCTCCAGAGAGAACAGCAGCAGACTCTCCTTATGCCTGAAGAAAGGTGTTTGTGTACAAAAGCTTGAAAAGAACAATTTTTCCAACTATTCAGTTGTTCTAATAAAAGTTACCACATTTACCCAAATAATCTTGTCTGTCTTATTCTTTGTTGCAGCTTCCCTATCTTTTTGTTGCTGTTGTTTTTTTAAACATTGCTGTCTACACAAGCTAGCATATGTAGGCTTCTTTCCTTTCTTAAAACAACTTTCAAATTAGTTTATGGAAATTTACTCTCAAATAAATAAGTGAAGATTTCTCTTCATTTATAAATAACATCCCAGAGAAGGACTAACTGTCATAGGGCATTATTAAACAGTTGTTTCTAAGAACACTATAATGAAGTGCATTACTCCAAGTCATTTACTGAATAGGGGTGGAGATGCACTTCAAAATCAAATTAGGGATCAGATGAACAGTGCCTGAAAGTTAGTTTAAATGAGAATTTACAGTTTATTCTGCAACAAAAACAAATAAACAGTAATGAGTGTTATTGAAAAAAATTCATAGAATACTAGTATCCTAGGATTGGAAGGGACCTCCAGAATCATTGGGTCCAGCTCCCTGCACAAATATAGGAAGGTTATTCCTATTTTGCAGTAGAGTGAATATAATTAGCTGAAAAAAAAGAAAACTTTACCTTTTTTTGAAGAAAGATAAATAACTCATGAAAAAAAAAAAATCAACAAGAAACTCTTAGGGTAAAATTTTAACAAGAATCCCATTTCCCCTATTACATGCAACCTGCAAAATATCACTTAGTTATTTTTATTCAGTGATACTACAGTAGTTCCTGTAAGCCCCACTAGGACCCTATGTTCTGGTGGGATTAATGGAATTAATGAAACAACACCTAAATTAAAGAATATACAAGAAAAATCATTAGTTTTCATGCACATTAAATAGTACTCATACCTTCATTACTACCTACTTTTTAGATATAGTGAAATCCAAAACACAAAATTGAATTCCCACAAATCTGAATAGAAATTATGTGCATGGATAAAGGCAAAGTTGAGCTGAGACTATCTATCAGGTCTAGATTTAATTGTATTTTGAAAGTAAACAGAAGTTGTAAAGAGGCTTTTTGTCTTTTTCATTCAAAACACTTTCATAACCAATTTTTATTGATGCTATGAAAGAAAGTGTAGAACAAGTGAAGTAACTTTTCAATACCTTTAAGAGAGAATTTGGTAATGACATATTTACTGCGGGGTTTTCTTTACTTACCATAGGCCACAGGAGTTAGCTTCAAGACAGTATGCAGTGGGCACTTGAGGTAAGGCAGCTGTTCTGAGAAATTACAAAACAAAAATACATATGTAATACAGAGTACAAAAAACCATTTAAAAAACTTCTCTTTCAAAGTGACACTGAAGCCTATATATCTTTTTGCTAAGCAAGTGATACCACACCAACTGATACGGAGGGCAGAGAAGCAAACATATATCTTCAATGACAGAAGTTGGATGTAATTACTTAACAGGCATGCAGAAATAAAAGTTGGTCAAGTATGAAAAATTGCACTTGTTTACTCACCCAACCACAGCAACCATGAATTAATCACCATGGTAAGGACAAGCAAAAAGCTTCTGTACCTGGGCTAGTGTGCTTTCAGCACAGTTTGCAAAGGTAAAGTAGACCCATTATACTGAAACAGCAAAATCAATTAAAAGCATGTACCTGCTGGTTTGTCAAGAAAGTAAGCAAGCAAACACCGCATAACAGCTTGGTGACATATAACGAGCACATTTTCCTGCCTTTCCAGCTCCATAATTACTGGCTCTAGTCGCTGAACAAGGTCTTCATAAGACTGGAAAACATTAGCATATCTAGAAATTAGAAGCCAACTTAAAACATAAATAACTGCAAAGTTTTAAAAAATGATAAGAGAGCCAACATCAGACAAGACTTGATATTGACCAGCAAAAAGGTTTAAGATAACCAATCCTACATCTCAGAAAGCAAGAGCAGGAAAAAAGAGGCCTCTATTTCTCCAGCATGCTGCAAAAATAAAAAATAAAATATTTCATAAAGAAATTGACTTGTGATCTGGAATCCAACTATCATTTTATTGTGTCTTAAGTATAAGAGCATAAGACTTGCCATTTACTGGGTCAGACCATAGGTCCATCTCGCCCAGTATCCTGTGTCACACAGTGGCAGATGCTGAAAGAGACAGTGAACCGGATATGACATGGGGTTTTCCCCCACTGTTCCTCTCTCACTTGCAGCCCCCAGCATTTAAGAGCTAGGAAGTTCTAATTCAGAACCTATATCTTTATCTCCCATGCTCAATAGCTACTGATGCCCTTTTCCTCCAAGATCAGGGTATTGCAAAGTTTGAGAACCCCTGGGTTAGCAGGTTTGCTTTTGAAGTGTACAGTATTTGCTGGAAGGAAAGCAACCAATCTGACCATAGACTTGTCCTAACACCCACACAAAACTAATAGTTGCAAGTAATGATCATGGCAGCCATTGGAGTAGCAAAATAAAAATCAGAACAACATAAAGAGCCTTCAAAAGCAATTTCTAAATATGGGTCTTGTTCTGTTTTGGGTTTTTGTTGTTGTTTTTGTTTTTTTAACTTCCTACCACAACCAAATTGTGACTGAATCCTATGTATGTGGGTTTTTAAACATGTAGTCAAGTCCATGGGTCAGTAACTTGCAGCTTATAGAAAAATTTGACATGGCCCACCAAGCTAGGGCAAGGGCAGTGGCAGCCTACACTATGACCAGGCTGTGTTAATTCAGCCTGCCATTCCTTAAAGGTTGCCATGCCTTCTTGTATTTGAAGAGATGTGTGCTTAAGCTAAACAGAATCTAAAAGCTGTTTTAGTCCTTCCATTTGGAAGGTAGTCCTTCCACCTGGAAAATGAAAAAAAAAAAAAACTATGACCTTTTTCACCTTCAGGGAAGATATTTTTTCCCCATCCTAGCAAGCATCTCAAGGACTTAAGGAAATATTGAGATACATTAACTTAAGGAACAGGAAAAAAAGTGAAAAACATAGCATACCTCTCCTTTAGGGTATCTGTATCTGTATTTGTCTTGGTCTCTCAAAGCAAATTCAAGTGGATAGTTTTCCTGTATTTCTTCATATGTCATTTCTTCGCACACCCCCTAAAAGTAATGAAAATAAAAGGCACACTATATTCATAGGACTTCAGACCAACAGACAATAAGAGATCTTAATATCCCAAACACACAACAAAAATAAATATAACACCGTCTTAACTAATTTGAGAATCGAATTATAAGAAAAAGAACATTTCCACTCAATGAACGTGACTCTAGACTAGGAAACCAAAAACCAAGGCTCACTGTTAGAACCCCTCAAAGATTCGCTATGTTTATAAGGTTGCAACCTCTGACTACAACAGTTTACCTACCTAAAATAGGAAGATACTGCTTTCTTACCAAAACCCTGAGATGTACATGTGAAAAGTGCCAAAAACAAACAAAATAGTTTTTTAGTTTAAATGCCCTCCTGAAATTTTGGACACAGAATACTTTACAGCATCCCTTTAATCATATAAATGGCCAAAAAAATAATTAATTAGGGCACCATTTACTAAAAAATTTATCACTGTTAACAGGGATAAGCAACAAGCCAACTTTCAGAACCATTAATATTCTTACTTTCTTATCTATAAAAGATTAATTATTACACTATAAATTAATTTCTCTTGTCCTAACAAAACAGAACTGGTTACTTGGCTGTTTATAAAAGGAAAACTTACTGCATCTATTTCATTCAAAACCTTCCACTGCTCATAAGGCACTCCCAATGCCTCTGCAGTCTGAATTGTCCTTTTCATCTGACTGGTCCAAACTTTCAGATCCTTGATATTTTGCTCATTAATGAACCGTGCCAAGACCTTTGCAAACTGAAAAGAAACCCCCAGAAATTAGATGAGAGATCAGAGCCAATACATTGTGCTCAAGCTGGAACCCAAATAGGCTCTCATTTGTGTGAGCTCATTATGTTCTTTCAAAAAGGCAGCATAAAGGCTTTGAGAGCAACCGTCTCTGTTTAGCAAGGAAAATTAAAAAGGGTATTTTCTACAAATTCCCATTTCAGTTCCAATTCAGCTTCCCTTTCAACCTTTATGTTGCGATATTTTAAGTACACACTCACTGATGCAGGATTTACATAGATCTAAGTATGTAAATAAAAACTTAATTTTAAAGACTCTCTGACAACCACTCAGAACGACACATTAAATAAAGGTCTAAAAGAATGAATGAAAACCAAAACTAGAATTGAGAGTATGAACAGATGCGTATTTTAGGGGAGTTGGAGCTACTGCCTGTAGCAGCTGCAACACCCTGTAGAGCAGGGGTGGCCAACCAGTGGAATGCATGCCACAGGCAGCCTGTCTGTGTGGCACACAGCAAGATCAGGGAGCGAACAGGAAGGACAGCAGTCGATATGGAAGGAAGCAGAAAGCAAAGCAGCTGAGGCAGAGAAAACAGGGCAGGGAGCAGAAAGCAGAGCAACAGATCAGTCAGCAGAAAGGGACTGGAGGGGCACACAGGGAGGATACCAGACTAATCTGTGGCACATTTGCCAAAAAGGTTGGCCCCTACTGCTGTACAGATAAAAAGTTAGCAAAAACTGTCCTTACTTTTGATCCCAAATGAAGCAGGGTTAAAGTAGGAACTATTCTGATACACTTGTAAACTTGCATGATTCTGTAGCAATACAACTACTGCATCTGTCTGTACTATCACCAAATTACTGTACAAAACTCTGTCAACTCAGCCTTCTCTTACTCATTTACATGTCATTAGTGTCATGGTAAGATAAATAATTTGTCACCATTATTTTCCTTCCTCTCTTTCAATAAATATGTAAAGGCAACACCCTCCACACCCAGGAAACTCTGAGGCTTTTAAATAGAGAAATACTTACTTCTTTCCCCCTAATGGACAGTCCAGGGTCTCCTCCTATTCGTCCTTTCAGATTCAATTCACTTTCTCCATGTCGACAGAGGTAGATTGAGCGAGGCGTTACATGAATATTCATGAGGTAGTACACAATCCGGCTCTGGATATGATCCATTACTCTATTCACAAGGTAACTCCTTCCAACATCCATAATTTTAATATAAGATAGATCTCTTTCAGAAGAAATTAAAAAAAGGCCTGTGAGATTTCAGTTTCTTTTTTCCTTGATCCCATGCCAAGTCCACCTTCCTTCCTATCAGGGTGTCCAGACTGTGGAATAAACTCCCTTCCAGAGGTGGTACAGTCACCTAAGCTAGCAGTTTTCAAGAGGAGAGTGGACAATCACCTCGCTGGGGTCATGTAAGCCTAGTTGTCTTCCTGCCTAAAGTGGGAGGAATGGACCTGATGATCTGCAAGGTCCCTTCCAGCCCCTAACAATCTATGAATCTATGAATCCAACACACCCCAAAAAGATAGCTGCTGAAGAGACCACAGATTGCAGATTAACCCTCATTATTCAATATTTTATATTCTGAAAATTTCTGCAAAGGGTTGAGAAACAGCAGTTGAGCACTGAACTCAAAACGTTTTTTCAGATTTAAAACTCATCTCCCCTTATGTCACTTACACTGTACCCACTTCACTTGCATGCCTTTAGGGATGCATCTTGCATTGGGAACGAGACTTAGATAGTCCATTCTGCATGAGAAATTTTCACTAATGCAGCAAATCTAACACCATTCTGCCATTCAGGTAGCAAGCTGTGATCTGGCAATCAGAAATCTGGTTCAGAAAGGGCTAGAGTTCTGTGACCCTTCAAAAAAGGATGTCATGAGGACAGTTATGGAGCAAAGTTTTTCTCCCTCCCTCATTGCAACAGTAATACCCTCCCATTCAATGTCAACCCTCTTGTAAATGGACAAGGTGCAATCTGATTCTTTGCATAGTTCTCTCCTTACCTACATACATTTTTATCAACTCAGCTAACACCTCTAACCAGCATTCAGCTTAGGAAAATATAACAAAGCCTGTTTGGTTTTATGCATTTATGAAGACACCCCACTATAAATACAGATGGAAAAGAACTAACACCATGATTTAACCTTAGAAAAAGGTTCTCTGGAGTTAATCATTTCTGACATACACAGGCAGAAGCATCATGGCCATCACAGAGATAGTACACATGAATTAATCTGACTGAAACAGCTGTCCAGTGCTTACAGTTAATTACACTAAAATGTACTGCAGTCTTCTGTATAGCAGTGCTCGCAAAATGGAGATTGAGAAATGTATTCATGGGACAAGAACAGCATAAACCCTGGATGGATAGACTCAGTACTGTCTTCAGATGTACTGTAACAAAAAAAAAAATATTTGAATCACAGGGTCTTGTCTATTTCCAAATCTTAAAAGTGGGCTACAGGTGAATGGCATTAGTGAGAAATGACAATGAACCTAAACTATTCTCTTAAATAGTTTAAGCCTTGTCTACTGTCCAATGGCAAGTGTAACCCACCTAATTATTTTGGAATAATTCCCTCCTGTGCATACTAATCTCAAAATATACTTTGGCTATGGACAAATGAACAAATTACAGCAAGTTAATAGTGGGGGAAAGTTTTACCATGGAGCAGTTGTTGATGCACAGTAAATATCTGTGTATCTGCACTTACCTCATGAAAAAAGATAACCAAGATAATTAAGGCCTTTTTATTACAAGGTAAAATTATCTTTCTCTTAAGAAAGAAGATGGCCATTTGCTGCACATCAGCCCTCCACAGTAAATACCTCTCCCTTTAAAACTCATTTTAATTTTTTCATTTGTCCATGAAACTCAACTCTCAAAAGCTGGACAATTCAGAAGACTTATTCCAAAATAACTATGTGGCTCAAGTGATATAACGAGCCCATTTCTAAATTGCTGGCATACTGAAAGAGACAAAAAGAAAATGTTCACAAAATTCTGTATGAAGGAAATGACACACTCTCCTTAATCAATGTAATGAGATAAAATGGTGGTTAAAACAGTATTACTCTACCACTCACTTGTCTAGAGTTTCATCTAATGTCTCATAGGAGTTCTTGTAGCACTCTATTCTTTTCATGAAATCTTCTGTAGCTTCATCATTACTACAATCAATATAATCAGGACTGCCAAGTTTCACTTGCTATTTAAAAGATGAAATAATATTAATTAGCATGAATATATGTAGATGAAAAAACAAATTAAAAGGATACTTCTTGTACAATGAGAGTTGTTTATTTTTGCTTTTAGAAATTCTATTAAAATAATGTCACTTAAGGAAAGCCCATTTAAAAAAGGTAAAAAAAAAATCTAAACACAGGTAGCATGGAGAATCTCCCACCTGCTGAATTATTTTCCTCTGAACATGCAAAGACACAGCTCTAAGCGCAACCATACACCAGCTCCGAGCTGGGGAAAGGTTTTAATTAAAGTGGCTCTGACAGCCGCTCCAATTAAAGTGCCCGTTGTATCATGTGTATTCAGCATCCCACATTTCAAAATGGCAGGAGGGGGACTTTAACTAAAGCTCGTTCAATGAGCTTTAGTTAAAGTACCCCACCACCATTTTGAAACACAGGGATGAGGGACGCTGAATACACGATGCAGAGGCTCTGCTGAAGCACGCCAATTAGCATGCTCCAGCAGACTTGATTAAGTCTGCTCTGATGTGTGCTAATTAGCACACATTGGCGCAGAGGTCCATCATGTGCATAGGTGCCCCAAATGATAGCGGCGCACCAATACATTGGTCCATATCATATCAGCGCCGATAAAAGAAATTTGACATAAAAATTGGCAGTCGGCTTTTTTTCAGCTCATGTGGCCGATAATGTTACCAATAAATGCCATGTGCATGTGCACAGCCACAGCATGCATGGGACAAGGAGCAGAGTCTGGCAGCTTGGAGAGCAGCGTCCGGGTGGTAAGTCTGTTGGCATAAAGGGGTGGGGGAAGGTAAGAGACATGGCGGGCAGATCGAGGCTTCTGCAGTGAGGGAGGGAGTGGGGCTGGGGCAGGCACTGCCCAGCCAAGGTGGGGCGTGGGATGGAGCCATGAGTGGCTCATCCAGAGGGCATGGAAAGGTGGACAAGCAGTTTCCGCCACTGCGCGCACCCCCAAGTGAGGCACAGAGGGTATGTGCCCCTCTGATCTGTGCGCAGGTTGAGGGTGGGCTGGAGCCAGGGGTGGTGCCAGGCTCCCCGGCAGGGGTTTGGGCTGGGGTTATAGGCAGTAACTCCAACTCCCCACAAAATTCGCTGTAGCCCCCTAGACCTCCTCCCAGCACCACCACCCGCTCAGCCTGGGTGCAGCCCCAGCCCAACCTCTTCCAGTAAGAACCCGACACTGCCCCCAGTTCCAGCCTGCAGCAGCAACCTGCCCTCACCCCACGCACAGATCCAGGGGGCATATGTCCTCCCCACCCCGTGCCTCTTCCAGAGGTTCATGCAGTGGCAGGAGCCGCCCTCCCCCTCCCTGCGCACTCCTGGACATGCCGCTCACAGCTCCATCCCGTGCCCCCCGGCTGTGTCCCTGCCCCAGTCCCACTCCCTCCCTCACCATGGGGGCCTCTATCTGGTTCCCCCCGACACCTCCTTCCCTCCAACAGACTTACCAGCCAGACGCTGCTCTCCAATCTGCTGGGCTTGCATATCGGAACAGTATCAACCAATATGGCTCGTTAATAATCGGCCATCAGTATCAGCCCAAAAAATCTTTATCAGTGCACCCCTACTAAATGAATGCCTTTAAAGGACCTTCTTATTCCAGAGTTCGGTAAGACAGTGTAGAAAGAGAAAGAAAAGGAGACCAAATGAAAGATAACGTTAAAAAATATATTTCATCACATGGCTGATTTTTTTAAGACTTTTGAAGACTTCAAGCAGTTTATGCAGACTCCTATACTCACCACAATGTTTGCGGCAATGACCTCTGGATCTACGCACACTGACTCAACAAAGAAAGTCTCCAAACCAAACAGGAAATCATGAAAAGGAGGAAGGAAGAAAGAATATGCATAAGTATTCTGTCTAGTGATATAGACAGTGCATATGCACATACACACTTTCCAGCAACTTGCATATTATTACATATGTAATAGTAGGTATAGTACAGTTCAACCATTCCTACATTCATTAAGAATTCAAACATACAAAGTACTAAGTGTCCCCCAGGCCCATTCAGAGTTGAGGGGCCTTTATATTTTGTGGCATCTGACTCCCTATTTTTTTTTCCAAAAACTCTTAAGTAATAAGATATGTGATCAGAAAAATTTAGGTTGGCCAAGAAGCTTAAATAAAGTGGATATGAATTCAATGTTCTTAACAGCAATTAATACCTTTGCAACAAAAGCATTTTAGAGTTAAGATCTGCTCTAAGCAATACATAAACTCTTGTATACAATAGACATGTGTTATTCTCTTTATGAAGAAGATAGGGTTGTAAGCAAGAAAGATGACTAAGAAATCACTAAATGCAGGAAAAAAATCTACACAAAGGAGTGCTGGAGTGACATTGTGGCTGTGATAGTCCAGGAGCCCCTCTACGTTTGCAGGTAAAGGCACAACAGGATCCAATGTGTGATCCACACAGTCATACCTCTTCCCATGCCAGACAGGCATGACAGGAGGCGCAACTGTATGATTGTGCATTAGATCCCATGATGCCTTATCACTGGTGCACGGGAAGCTTGGGATCATGATCCTGGTCTCTTCCTGCACTGGTTCCCACGGCTGAGAATCCCACACTTCATGAGGCTCAGAAAAGCAGCAGCATCCTTCCCACTAACCCCACTGTGAGCCCTGCAGCTGAAAAAGTTGGCTCCACTGTGAGCCCCACAGCCAAGGAGGCTCACAGGCAGGACAGCATTCTCCCAGCTGCAAGCCCCACAGCTGACAACACTGCCACCATTGCAAGCCTTGTTAGCTGTGGGACTGGCACTGGTTGGTGCACCCCTGTGGCAAGGAGCTCCTTAGCTGATGGAGCTCCTAGCCATAGAGGAGCATCAGTCATTGCTGGCTACTCCTCCTTCCCCAGCCCCTCTTCAAGCAGGTAAGCATCATAATAAATAAATTAGTTTTCGAAATCAGTTGCCACTCAATTCACAAAAGTTATGGAGAGATGCTTCAAGTCAAAAAGACTGAGAACCACTGGCTTAAGCAGCACAGTCTAGGACTATCTAATAGAGCCATGGCATAAAAGACAGGCAAAGTAATTGAGAACAGTTTAGCTTGGAGAGCAGTAAGGGAAGGAAAAGAAAACACGACACACCTTTTTCTGAACTCATCAGATACACTATACTAGAACTCTAATAGAAAATATCCTATCAGAATATAGAACAGCTCTTTTCACAGCATAGATATAGCGTAGAGGACAAAAACATATTTTTCCCAATCAGATTCATAACTTGAGCTTTCTAACTTCTGACTCACCTTATATCCATTCTCCTCACCAAATTTGTAAATAGTTTCTCTGCGTTCTCGAGTTGTATTTGTAGCATCGAAAACCTATGACAAATTATAGAAAAATTAATATCACAGTTAAATATTGCCATCACCTAAGGACAAAGTCCTTTGTTATAATCACACCACCACCATCACCATCAGGTTCCAAGCCACTGCTTAAACTAGATGCCAGTCAAAGGAATTCTGAAAAAGAATTTGGTACAAAAAACAGTCTAATTCATTTCTAGAGAAAAAAGAAAGGGATTTGGAAAGGTACCTGACTCAACCCCCCAAATATTTGAGAACAGGTACCTCAATAATAAAATCTTTAAGGAAAAAAACAAAGTCTATAAGATGCCTGTACAGTTCTCCTGCATGTATGCCACATACCTCTCATATATTTCAATTCATGCATACACCCTGCTCTTGTTAAAATAGACAGAAAAGACAGACAATCTTTTCCTACATGTTTGGGTCTTTAAGGCAGTATGGGAAAGCTAAGATATAAAAGCCTTCATTATTGAATGTGATTATTTAAAAGGAAAAAAAACACAGTAAAGAGTGGCTCTGGCAGCAAAAAAAAAGGGGTGCAAATACTCAGTTTTTTATACTAGAAAAACAAAGCCAAGAGGTTTCTTATATTACTGTTCACGAATACAGTAACTGAACATATGCACATTATATGCCTTGTATGACAGGAGAGTAAATATAAAACTCCTTCAGCCAGCCACATTTGAAGCCTAGTTGAGCCAGCTTTCCTGATTACTGATACTTTACACTGCGTTTAGCTACTTTTTCTTCTAAACTGGAGCACAGGAAGTTAAGTCTTTTAACTAGCATTTCTGTTTCAAAACTGTGCACAATGGGACAAAAACATTCTCTATACCATTTTATTTTACTTTTTTGAATTCTGAATACTGAGGAGGAAAGATCTGAATGCACTGGCAATGGAATGCTATGTACTGGAGGGGAGGTGCATTCTGAGTGTGAGAGATTTGAGAGAGAAATTCTTTCCTTATTTCTACCTTATAGAGCAGCAAAGATTTAGATGACAGTAATAAATTACTATAACATCAGTCAACATAAATATCTACAGATACCTGCACTCTGGGCTCAGAGACTGAATTTTGTAATGAATTTGCGTTACACATTTAGATATTCACATATAATGGGAAAAAATGTGTTGGAAGATAAACATGCACTTTAGTTTATACTCCACTATTATGTTAGTTCAAACAGTAAGTATACAGTAGGTTATAGCAAATTAATTGAGAACAGAAAAACTGTCCAAAACTTGAAAGTCAGACTTGTAAAACAGGCATTTACTTATGAGCTGGCATTTCTTTAATAAATACCCATAAGCATTGTAACAGATTATGGAAGATGCATCAAGCCCCAAAGTATGGCTAAGTATAGTAAACTGCTCATCTAAGTAACTCATTAAAACCCCTGGCAGACATTCAACTAAAGGCACCATAGGATCTGATGCGTGATCCTAACCACCATGCTTCCTGCCATGTTGCACATGCATGGCAAGAGGTGCCATTGTGGGATCTGGGATCAGACCCCCATCACACCACATTGCCATTGCAGGGGGAGCCTGGGATCATGATCCTGATCTTCCCCTAAAACCACAATTATGGAAACAGTCAACTGATCCCTGCTCCCAACCCTACGAACATATCAGAGTCAAGGGCTCTGATGCACCCCTGAAGCTGGGAGCACAGATCAGATGATTACCACACCCAGCCTCCAGGACACATGGGAGCAGCAGCTGATCGGGGCTTCTGGCCTGGGAGCACGTGGCTGCCCCGTGCTGGAACCACAGGTAACTGTGGGGGGAGAAGGGCAAGGGGGACCCTGGGCAGGGAAGGAGCGTAGGGGGTGGGAGAAGTGGCCCTTCCCCCGCCCCATGCTGCAGCTGCTCACAGCCCACATTGGGCTGCCTGTGCCTGCACCGGGCAGCCCCGCAGGCTGCAAGCAGCTGCAGCAGGGAGAGCCAGCCATGGGGCGGGGGAGGGGCCGCTTCTTCCCCCTGCCGTGCTCAGCTTTTCCCTGGGCTTCTTTCCTGCACATAGAAAAGTGGCCCCTTGCCTGCCCCCTGGCCAGCGCTCTGTGCTGCAGGTGCTCACAGCCCACGCAGGGCTGTCCAGGGCAGGCACAGGCAGCCCCAGGCAGGCTGCGAGCGGCTGCAGCATGGGGCACCAGGCATGAGGCGGACAAGGGGATGCTTCCCCCCCCACTGCTCAGCACCAGCTTGTAACCCGGCCTCACCGCAAAGCTGGCAGCGGAGCCAGGTTACAAGCTGCTGCCGAGCGTGAGGAAAAGCAGCCCCTTGCTTGCCCTGTGGCTGGTGCCCCATGCTGCAGCCACTTGCAGCCTGCATGGGGCTGCCTGTGCCTCCTCCAGACATCCCCCACGTGGGCTGCAAACAGCTGCAGCAGGGAGCACCGGCCATGGGGTAGGCAAGGGGATGCTTTTCCCTGCACTCAGCACCAGCTTCTTCCCTGCTGGCAAGCAGGGGGTCAGGGCTGTGCACTGCCTCCCGCCTGTACCATGAAGCTGGGGACACCAGGTGTGAGTGGGCGGGAAGCCAGTGGAAGCACAGGGCCTGCACCAGCACCCCGGGGCCAGTGCCAGCGAGGCCCACAGCAGGGTGGCAGGAGTGTGGGGTCCCAGCCAGCAGGGGCTCTATGGAGCCGGGCCAGCTCCCTCCTCTCCCTGCTGGTGCACCCCAGCCACAGACCCCTGCCAGCCTGCACCCCACCGGTGTTGGCCCTGGGACATTGGTCCCAAGACATTGGGACATTGGTCCCAAGATGGTGACTAGGGGGCAGGGCTACCCATGCGGCCCTCCACAGCCTACCAAAACTGGGTAAGCGGCCCTCCGCCCAAAATAATTGCCCGACCCTGACTTAAGATGTGATAAACTAGTTAATCACATCTTAAATGTAATGTCTGCCAGGGGCCTAAAATACAGAGTGACAACTGCACCCATAAACACAAGCTCTAAAATAAAAGTTCAAATTAGGCACAGAAACTTAAATGCCCAGAGGTAACAGAATTAAAGTGTCATTTGATAAAGGACTAATGTTTCACATCCTTCAGCATTACAGAAACGGGGACACTCAACAACCACATTTAACACAAGCAACTCAATCGTGAAGAACCACACCAGAATTTTAGTGGAAAGTACACTGATCTGTAGGCTGGAGCCTTATGCTTTTAATTTTCCATTCATGGTTATCATCATTTTAATCCAACATATACATACACCATCACTGACTAGAACTGATAGCTAAATTAAAAATATTTATGTGAAACACCAAATGACATACTGAGTATGGCTCACTGAATTTTATTCTCACAAATGAAAAAAGGTTCTCAGCAATTCTACTTCCTTCCTTCCTCTTCCTCATGGGATTTTTTAGGAAGTCATTAATACTAGTATCAAAGATTTTTTAAACAAACCTTTATTTTGTCTTAAAAATTGGATTAGGTTACAAAGAAACAGATTTGGATACATCTACATCATGGACAACTTGCATGCATGCAACAGCCTGTTAACAAAAAAAAGGACAGACACCTTTCCCTAGCACCATCAAAAACTGGTTGATGTTGGAATTCACTTGGATATTTCCAAAGGAGGCTGTTCCAGATATACTTACCATGAAACTATAAGGTTTTCCTTCCCATAAAAACCACCAAAGCAGTAAGATAAGTCCATTTTATATTTACAAAGAAAACTTAAGACAATTCTTATCATGTGTAGGTGGGGAGAAAACTCACAGCTACATGTCCATTTTCTTCACTGAGGTACTTTTGGACATCATTCAGCGCTGTTAAGGCACACTGTCTTAAAGGGAAAAAGATAATTCAAGTCACATAACACTTTAAACTGATTTAGAATTACATGTAGCACTCACATGACTCTTAGCTTAGTCTAAATACAATGGAAACATTCATCAGCCAGCTATATGAACCTAACAATCAAGTCCTAGTCCCACTTTACAGGAAAAGAATTGGCAAAAAATGGTGAACCGACTCACAAGGCAATAGGTCATGGTCATACAACATCATCTAAAAACAAACAAAAACCAAAAGACAGAACCTTTCAGGCAACTCAACACATTATACAATATCAACACATAATGTGTAGTATCTTCTACTGCCCAGTCTGCAATCCTGAAAGAACTTTCAGTGATCCAGAACCATATAATAAAATCACCACTTGCACTGAAACTCTCTCACTTGATTCATGGGCAGTTGATGCTAAATTTACCTTTCTAGTAAGAAACATGGTATCTTCAGTACTTTGAATTGTAACCTTATTTTCTTAAAATGAATGAGTTCAGAAACCAGAATATCTATACATATTTCTCTACTTATTCTGTTTTGGATTTCTATACTAAGGTTTCTTGTGGTTATTTTCCTGTTTTCATTGTACAACTCCCACTTAGTCTTAAATTTAGTTTTGTATATTCTTTTACATGGAAAATCAATTCACCACTGCAACAGACTCACTGAGACAATATAAAAGAGATGGTTAGAAATTTTAACACATTTCAGTTAAAATTCATGAAAAATACTCATGAAAGTTCCCTACTCCATTTCTTTTTAATAACTCTAGTAATGAATTTCAAATTAAGATATCTAGTCCCTAAATAGTCTCAGGATGTCTGTCTACTCTTTGTGAAGGGAAACATGCATCCACCAATAAATGAACCACACCCATATTTACTTCATATTAAATGTCAGGTATAATCACTTTTAATAAAAATGAAATAAAATTATATTTGGTAGTTATTAAACAAGTTGTGTTTAAACCACCATTTTGCTCGGTACCCTTTAACATACCTTACTGGAATAACATACCATCTATTTTAGTTTTGGCACTGAAATGTATAGTTTTCCTAGTATAAAACCTATAAGATAATCTTGGTAAAGGCTTTGTCATACAAGGAAGGCTTTTTATTTCAAACAAGTTTATATTTACAAAAAATAGCAATTCAGTAATAGGTGTTAGGAACCTGGGTAGATCAATCAGGTCTTCACTAACCTAAACATATCTCCTTTTTGGTCACAATAAGCATGGCAGATTGGATCATATGGTTTATCTGGTACTGTGATCCCAACCATATAACCTAACAAATGCTATGCTGATGCATTAAGCTTAATTTTAAGTCTAAGCAAAAGATAGAGATTTCTGGGATTAATTAAATCCATTTTCTATTTTGTGTCAATAATATCTAAGGCAGTGGTGCCCAACCGAGGTCCAGCAAGAACCTGCCAGGAATGCCATGACACTACCACAGGGTGAAACTGCCCCAAGTGCTTCTGTTTTCAGAAGCCATGTCACAGCCAAACTGAGAAGCAGCTGCACCAGAAAGCCACGTCTGTCTGCATTACGTTATGCAGACAGCCAATCTGATTCTGCTGCAATTCTTCCTGGTTGAGTTCCAGCGTACCTCCTGAAAACGGAGGCACACAAGGCAGTTCTACCTGGTGGCACTGCATCCAACTCTATACTACTGCCACTATGGGGTAAAATTTCTGCATGTATACCCATTTTTCAGGAGGTGCGCTGGAGCCAAACCAGGAAGGGATGCAGCAGAATTGGTGTACCTGCCTGCATAAAGGAATGCAGGCATCATGTCTTTCTCCTGCAGCCATTTCTCAGTTTAACTCCACAACGTCTCCTGAAAAAGTGTGTGGGACAGTTCCACCTGCCCTGTGTGCCTCTGTTTCTGGGAGATGCCACGAAGGATCAAACCCAGCAGAGTTGCGGCAAGTACATGTGTTCCTACCACATATATATTTATGATGTTTTCATATTAGTTTTTTTAATAGGGTGCCATTAAATTCTGAAAAGTTTTGGAGAGATACCTTGGGTCTAAAAAGGTTAAGAACTATTGGCCTATAGGGCTCATCTACAAATTGCTCTTTTCTTAATAATATTGCTTCTTGCAAGGAACATACAGAATCCTTAAATTAATTACTTAAGCGTGAAGGGCAAAAAAAGATGAAAGTTTCATATATAAGATTTTACATAGTAATTGTAAATTCATGGTTTTGATCAGCTCTCTCTTCCTAATACAGGGGCATAGCAAACAAGGAAGTTTACTGATGCAATTAAGCAGCAGGTTCAACTGCTTGCATGAAGGAAATCACTCTCACATATTCAGGCAAAGGTAGTGTCAGAGAACAAAAGAACAGTGAACCAGTTCACTTGAGGTACCCACAGGAATATTTCAAAGATACGTCAATCTAGATGATAAGAATTCTAAAATGTCAAGTAAATCTTGTACATCTTTTCTGCTTCTTTATGGTTGGTGCAAAACATTTTTAGGACTTTTGTACAGGTGGAAAGTGGACAGCATTTTGAACCGTGGAAAGGTCAAAAACTGTCTATTCCATTTGTATCAGAGGTCTTCTTGCAGCACCAGTGAACTGAAAGAGTAGCACTCAGTCTGCTGAAGGGCCAGAGGTGATGAGTAAAAAAATCATTCTTTGCCCATTGTTTTTAAGGGCCTGAGTTTAAAGTGGATGTATTTAAATTAAAAATCATACAAAGTTAAGCACTTTAATTAAAGAAGTCACTTCTCTAGCCCCTCACAGATTTGCTCTCCTTGGCCTCAGATCATAATCTTAGTAATCCTACAAAGTGTTACAGGGCATTTAAAAAAATTCAGAAATTACAGAAACTCTCAGTATACAGCAAACTTAGGATTCAGTTGGCTGGCTGGCCAAACACAGTCCAACCTACCTTCTGATTTTCAAGCCCTCTTCATTTTCTGGAAGGAAGAATTCGAAGGATTTGTATTTTTTTACCAAATCTCGACGATACTGACCAACATTAAATTCTGCGGAAAAAAGTTCATATTAGTTGGTAATAAAGATGCCTGCAACTAATAAGCACTGAAATAAAAATTTTTTATAGAATCATAGAAAATCAAAAAAAATTAGGGTTGGAAGGGACCTCAGGAGGTCATCTAGTCCAAACTCCCTGCTCAAAGAAACTCAGAAATAAGTTCACCTGCAGGAATATTTCTGTCTAATCTACATCAAAATTAATCCTACTTCTCCATCTATTAAAATAAAGACACATGGCTAAAGGAGAAAGTGATGCAAAGACTCCTAGGTTTCCATAGCACCCTGGGGTGCCATGAGATCCTTTCAAGCGCGCCATGGGGTGCCACACAATGTAAGCACTGTTGTGTGTACAAACATGATTCACAAAACCCCCCCCAGAGATTTCAAGTAAGAATCCATACTGAAGACAGCTTGATACATCCATAGTGTTAAAAATATTCTGACCTGTCAAGCTGTCTTCAGTAGAGGTGCACCGATACATCGGTCCAATACTAATATAAAGAAAACTGGCTGTATTGGATATCGGTCTGATGGGGCAGGTAATTTGGCTGATAAATGCCTGTGCTGCGCTGCGCACTCAGGCAGCAAGGAACACAGCTGGCAGTGGAAAGAACTGCCTCCAGCTGGTAAATCCAATGTGGTGGAAGGGGAGGGGGGAGGGCAGATCAATGCCCCCTGAAGTGAGGGAGGTGGCAGGGGCAGGCACTACCCAGGCGGGGCGGGGACAGGCCAAAGCCGCAGCTCATAGGGTCAGCTCCTGTTGTTGCTTGCACTCCGGGAGGGCACAGCTGAGTGGGAGAGCGTGTGCCCCCAGATCTGCATGGGGTGGAGTGGGTTGCTGCTGGGGCTGCATAGGACTCTTGTCAGTGGGGGCTGGGCTCAGAGTGGGTGCCAGCAACACTGGGAGGATGTTGCATCCACCCCAAATTTTACCACCGCTCCACTCCCAATGCCGCCACTGCCAGCTGTCCGGCACAGCCCCAGCTCTTCCCAGTGGGGCATTGAGCTGGGGCTGCACTGAGTGGCTAGTAGTGCTGGAAGTAGAGCAACAGCGAAATTTGGGGTGGATGCAGCATCCTCCCAGCACTGTTGGCACCCGCTCCAAGCCCAGCCCCTGCTGAGAAGAGCCCCACATAACCCTGGCTGCAGCCCACCCCACCCTGTGCAGATCCAGCGGGGTGGCACATGTCCCCCCCCAGGGTGCAAGCAGCTGCAGGAGCCGCCTGTCACCCCCCGCCCTGCTAGGGCAGTGCCTGCTACTGCCCCCTCCCTCACCGCATGGGGTGTTGATGCCCCCCCCCATCCCCTTCCACCACACCGGACTTATCAGCTGGAGGCAGCTGCACTGGAAATCAGATTAGTATTGGCCGATATGCCTCCTTAAATATTCGCTATCGGTATTGGCCCCAAAAATCTCTATCCGTGCACCTCTGGTCTTCAGTATATTCATGGGTGTCTGTATACCACATTGAAGAGTTTATCTTCTCCTTTCAATTATTTTGAAGCAAAATAGGATTTGTACAGCACTTGCCCAAAACTTCAACCATTATTTAGGAAAAAAGTTTTGATGGAATTAGTTTACTTAACTAACAAAAACCTCTGAGGGATTTTACAATAAGAACGAGTGACACATGTGTCATTCAGCCATGGCAGGTCCACGCTCTGGCAGGAAAGACCCTGGAAAAAAAATCATTTTCTTCTTCATTCTGCCTTCCCCAAACAAGAAGGGTGTGTATATGTTATTTGGAAGCATGTAGTATGTGAGAAAGATTCAATTATCCTTTGACCAGTGATGACAAAATCTATCCACTGTATGTAAAATGCACTGCACTTTACCCATTGGAGCATTTTTTTAAAAGTCTATCTGGGCAAAGGTCTATGCCAGCTGCAGTGCTGCAGCATTGGAGATGTGGTCAGGTCATGGCAGTTGTATCACACCAACAAGTCAACTGGTATCACATCGTTATTATGTGTACACACCTCTATTAATGAAGCACAGACTACAATTATATTAAGCTGCTTTTGCATTCTGTATTTGCTATATTCATTACCTTAAGAATTCTAGATTGAATCTAAATGATCTGTTTGGGAAACTACTAAGGCAATTAACTACTGCTAATTGTGAGACTTAGCTTCCATCCAGAAATAAAAAAAATAAATACTGAACTGTAGAGGTGCACCAATACATCGGTCCGATATCAGATCAGCACCAATATAAAGAAAATTGAGTGCACTGGAAATCAGCCTGATGTGGCTGATAATTTGGCCAATAAATGCCCAGGTATGCGCACAGCCGCAGCACAGCACATAGGTGGTGAGGAGTACAGCCTGGCTGCTTGGAGAGCTGCGTGCAACTGCTAAGTCTGGTGTGGTGGAAGGGGAGAGGGAAGGAGCATGGGGGGGCCAAATCAAGGCCCCTGTGGTGAGGGAGGGAGGGAGTGGGGCTGGGGCAGGGCACAGGACAGCCAGCAGGGCAGGGGGCATCTCCCACCGCTGTGCACAACCTGGGAGGGCACAGGGTGGGATCTGCATGGGAGGGTGAAGGAGGGCTGCAGCTGTGGGCTGGGGCCAGAGCTGTGCTTGGGGTGGATGGTGGCAGCACTGGGAAGGGGGGTTGGGGGTCTACAGAGAATTTTGGGGAGTTGCAGTCCCTCCCATAGCCACCTTCCAGTACCATTGCCACCCACCCCATGCACAGCCCGGCCCAGCCCAAGGAAGAGCCTGGCACCGCCCCAGCTTGCAGCTGCAGCCCACTCTGCCCGAGCCCTGCACGGACCCAGGAGAAGATGCTCCCCATGCCTTTCTGGGGTGCGCACAGTGGTAGGAGCCCTCCCCTGTACCCCCAGGACGAGCTGTGGCTCCATCTGGCACCCTGCCCCACCCTGACTGGGCAGCACTTGCCCCAGCCCCACTCCTCCCATACTGGAGGGGCCTTGACCTGTCCCCCCCACACCCCTTCACTCCCCTTCTACCACAACAGGCTTACCAGCTGCATACAGCTCTCCCTGCTGTATCGAAAATTGGATTGGTATCAGCCGATAAGCCTCCTTAAAAATAGGCCAACGGTATAGGCCTCCAAAATCTCTATCAGTGCACCCCTACTGAACTGTTGTTCAAACGAAAATGAAAATTTGAACTTAGTTCAATCAGCAATTGTCCTGAGGAAAGAGTATGGTATACATTAAGGACCACAGATTAATAAATTAACAGTAGTTTAACCTTGAACAAATCACTTCTAATACTGAAGAAAAAACTGGCTATTTAAAAATAAAAACAGAAGCAATTTTTGGCAGCAGAAGGAATGGCACTGGTATTCTGCATAGCATCATGCGAGTTTCATTAAGAACTGGTCAAGGGGTCACCATGACAGCACCAAGAATAAGCAGAAGAGGTTGAGGAATTTAGGAAGCAAAACTCCATCTCCCACCTGCTGATATCAAGGACCTGCTTTTTTTCTATAATCTTCACCCTTCCCCCCAAAAAAAGTTTGCTTACTCCTAGATCATATTTACTTTTAGTTATGATGAGTAGCTACTCCCACTGCACAGAGTGCATATTTATTTTTTGAAACTGTTAAGAAACTTCAGAGTGAAAAATAATAAACCAGCCATTTATCACATAAAGATCATTCCTCAAATTAGCCTACAAGCAGGAGCTGTCAACACCTATTCAACTAGGAGAAAGTATTTTAAGAAAATTCAAGCTTCGGTGAAATTAAATTGCTGCTGTCAGAACAACAAGCCATTTATTCTGACAGTGAAGATTAAAACACATGGAAAAAACTTCTAAATGCAGCAAAACAAAATAAGATTACACGGATTTATGATTTAAGAATAAAAATCCAACAGTGCTTCAGCCAACCAGAGAGAAATTACAAACAAGTAAACTATACTGCATACAAGTATTATACAAAAGGGATTCCCTTCTGAATATCCAGTTCAATTTAAATGTATTTTGGATCTATGATCCACCACAATAATAAGACCTTCGTTTACCTTGCTACTGCTAAGCCAGTTATTCCCCAATTATAACATTACTATGCTGACTTTAACTTTATCATCAACAGAGTTGGGTATCTGACCAGTCAAAAAAACAAAACAAAACCAAAAAACCACTTGGTCAACTGACTACACAAATGCAGTCAAATATTTTAATCATTAATTTATGAGAACAATGAAGAGAAATTAGGTTAGATAATTCCACCAGTTACCAAAAAAGAAGTTGGTTAATTGTTATTGTGAAACAGTGAAATTAAATTCCAAATAATTGCAATGTATTTTTATAACTAGCAGTATTAGGTAAGTGTAAATGTGAATGACTTTGAAGACTGAACAGTTCTTCTTCTTTTCCCTAGCTTTTATCATGACATTTTAGAGTAAGCCCAGATAACTACAAATGTAATTGTGTTTTGCTGTTTGCATTTGGAGATGCCTGCAATAACAGCAAATGGCCAATAGAAGCAGTTTTTTTACATTGCTGTTTTAGGACACAGACAGAAGTGAAGCTCCCCACTGTAATTCAGAACACTTTGCAGGAAGCCTTCTGAGTTACAATAATCCCCTGGATCAAAGATAAGTTCATTGTTGGGTCAAGGGGGGAGGGCAATCTAGCTGCTGGCTGGGAGCCTGCAACTGGTTTCCCCTAAAATGGCCTCCCCCTCCTCCGGGGGGGGGGGGGGGGGC